TTTCATTGCTTATCTCTTTGATGAAATTCTGCTAGGTTAGAAGTTCCACTGTGAATAAGAAGACATTCTGAGCGTTCAGAGGAGTGAACTACTAGATATTTTTTTCCTTTACTGTTTGGTCCAGGGTCCATAAAAAATTGATGTTCTCTTCTCAGGTAACATGCTTATTTTTATCTACATGAAACTCATTGATTTTCTTCCAATTTGGTGTTAGCCTCTTCATTCCACTATCATTCCCGAGATAACGAATGATATTTTCATAGGCATGGCTAGTAATCAATATAGACAAGCTCTGCTCATTGATTTGAGGAAGGCCTTTGATCTGGAAAATCACCAATTATGGCTATTTAAAGTAGATTCAATTGGATTAGGTAGAACAAAAAGAACTGGTATGTATGATATTCTTTAATAGTTTTAAAACCTAGATAGACACAAAGTTAAATATAAGGCCTCTTAAAGAATAGGGTTAATTTTCATTCTTTCAATTTTAAATGAAGATTTTCCTGCACAGACCACTTTATTTTTAAATTTTTTATGTCTGTATAATGTGATACTCCTATAAGGGACATCCCAGGTACAAGGTAATTGACGATTTGCAGTGTGTTTCTGACAACCTTCAAATCCTAATTAATAAAAATAGATTCAGCTTAAATATTGATATGCCAAGCATTAGTCTTATTTTAACTGAAAAAGGTGGACTTCTGGTCCCAGCAAATTAAGTCTTTAATGGTATGCAGGCTACCTGGTTGATTGATCTATTATTACATTTTTGAGTGGAACTTGAAGTTACTATTATTTTCAGGCTATGGCCAAATTTGAATTTGAAATGAGAATGTGGATTGTTTCTTGCCTACATGAGACTAAGTATTCCCCAGACCACAATCTATATTATTTAATGTACAATGATCTATATTGCTTTTGAAGATCATGAATCATGAAATATACTGGAAAAAAAAGAAGGCAGAGAGCCCAGCTGTGTTTTCCCTTCCATGTCCTCTCTCTGTGCAGTCCTGAATTCTGGCAGAAGACCTATCCTAAAGCTGTTTAATTTGTGATTTACAACAAAGGTTACGTAATAGAGACACCTGGATTCTGATGCCAACTCAAATCAATTAAATTTGCTGTGTATGCAACTTGAAAGATTATTTAATCTCTTTTTCTGTAGTTTCCTTGTATACAATAATAGCATCAACTGTATGGCTGCTGGCCTTGGATTTGGAAAAAGCACAGATGTGCATATGATGGCTCAGCAGTAAAGAACCTGCCTGCCAATGCAGGAGATGCAGGTTCGATCCCTGGGTAGGGAAGATCCCCTGGAGGAGGAAATGGCAACACACTCCAGTATTCTTGCCTAGAGAATCCCATGGACTGAGGAGTCTGGGAGGCTACAGTCCATGGGGTTGCAAAGAGTTGGACATGACTGAGCAACTAAACAACAACCTAGGTTTTGAGACTTAAAATTAATACTTAGTAAGAGCAATACTTAATGCTTATAATTATTTACTTACCAATTACTTTGTGTAAGTAAATTTCTAAACATTTTAAGTTATTTAATCCTCCCAACAACCCAATGAATGACATATTCTTTCTCTCTCCATTTTATTGGTAAGGAAATGGTAACCATAGAGAGTTTAAAGCTATCTGCCCAAAGTCATAAGCTCATAAATTGTCAAGTGAGTATTAAAATACAAGTATTCTCATCTCAGGGCCTGTCCTCCTATTATTACTAGACACATGTAGATATTTAGGATAGAAATTAGCACACAGTAAGTTCTTAATAAATACTGAATGTTAACAAATGAAAATAATAATTGCCCCGAATTTCAGAAATCTGCCCCTTCAGATTTAAAGAAAAATAGTTTTAGATCTATATTTAAAATGACTTCTTATTTCTGTAGGTTTGGAGTCCTACAGAAAAGTCCAGAGGCTTCTCTCCTTTCAGTGCATGCTGTGTTACTGTAACCATGATAAGTCGCTCAGTCGTGTCCAACTCTTTGGGACACCATGGACTGTAGCCCGCCAGGCTCCTCTGTCCCATGGGATTTTCCAGACAAGACTACTGGAGGGGGTTGTCATTTCCTTCTTCAGGGGATCTTTCTGACCCATGGATTGAACCTGGGTCTCATGCATTGCAGGCAGATCCTTTAGCATCTGAGCCACCAGTGCTCACTATGGACATTCAATTTGTAAGTTAGGTTTTGTCTTTTATGCTCTTAACCATCTCCAACCACTATCCATTTCTTTTATCCACTCTTTTCTCCCCTAAATATTTACCTTCTTTCTAATGTTTGCCTTTTAGAGTTTAGATAATTGTTGATAAATTATTAGGGGACATTTTTATTCTCAGCAATCATTTGCCTTTTTTGTTGTTTTGCTTTTTGTTTTTGAAACCTTGGTCAAACTTCCTTCTGAGAAAATATCTTCTCACTTTCTCTCAGTTTCTGGGCTCTTTCAGTTGGAGTGACCACCCACCAGGGTCCAGGGATGACTTTATGACCTCTCAGGGCAGATACATTACCCAAGTCAATGGAAGGTTCAGGGATGGGTATTTGAGGTAATCAAAGCCAATGAGATATTGCTGGAATATCTGGAAACAAATCAGTTTGATATTTTTCTTCTATTGGCCTTTAAGTTGTAAGAACATAAAATCAGGAGCTGCTGTGCCATGTGTAACCATCAAACAGGTGCTTTTCTGAGACTGGAGTTAACACAGAAGTAGAAATTGATAAGCAGGGCCCTGGTGGTGTCATTTAAGCCCCTGTCTCAAACTGTGCTTACTGTCTCCTATAGACATTTCCATAGTGTGATCCAATAAGTTCTCCTTTGGCTTAAGCCAGTTGGATTAAGTTATCTTTCACTTACAACTGCAAAGGTTTTATGTTAATAGAATATTCTTTAAGACTCAAAAGGATAAAGTGATTATACAATATTAGTATGTTAATAGTTGGTTTCGATAGTTTCAGGGGGTACATGTTGGAGTCCTACAGGATGATTGCAGAGGTAGTAATAATAGATAATGAAATTATTCCTCCCTTTCTCCATCTTCCTTTTGCTTAGAACCCTTTTCAAGAATTTCTTCATATCAATAAGTAGTCCTTGGGGCTTCTGCGGGCTTTTCCTTATTGTTCCCCTGGGATTCAAGCAGTAATGAAAGAAGAACAATTTTATCCTTGGTGATTTTACATCTTGCTCACTCATTCCCAGGGCTGGCACTTTTAAGTGAATATCTTTAAAGTATATCAAATGTCTCTCTTGATGCTATAGGCTAGCCATCCAGAAAACTTCATGTTTTTAGCCCAGAGAGTTTTCTCCCTCAGTATATTCCCTGGGCCTGGAATACAGACTGATTTAGAAGAAATCCTGCAGGTGCCTTAGAAAACATATGGGTAGGTGAAGAAAGACAATGAAGAAAAAAAAAGAGAAAAAAAGCAAAAACTAGAGGTCAACTTATTGAGGACCGCAGAGGGAAGAGATGGGAATAATCTAGGTTCTTACCGCGAGTGCTGAACTAAAAAAATTATCAACCTAAAACTCTTCATCCATTGGACTTCTGATTCTATGGGAGCAGTATACAGTTGTCTCTGACTGTCAAATATTTCAATCCTTTTTCTCTACTAGGGTATCCTCCTCCTTATTAGGTAGAGTCAGCCCTACATTATAAAATTTTAAAGTTCCCACACACTTACTTTCCCATTTTCCCTCGTAGGTCAGGCTACAAGCTAGACTCTGCCCTAGATCTTAACAGGAGCTAGGGACATGGAAGCATGTGGACCATGAAGAGAGCACTTCAAACATGGGTAGTGGAACCAGCAGTGGATATGGTCACTTTGCAGGGGTAGCAGGCAGCATTACTGGCCTCAGTATCCCAAGGTAAGCTGTAGGGGTGCCAGTGGGGAAAGGTGGGCTGTCCACACCAAGGGCGATGACAGTGGTAGTTTCACAGGACAAGGTTTGCAAGATGATTTCAGTTTTGTCCTTGGCTATATGTAATCCCTATATCTATTTGTCTGATCATACCAGAGATTTTGAGAGCTGTATACTTGAGATTTATTTTTCTCTTAAATCATCTAGAGTTTATTTCTATCACCTACAACTAAGAAACTTCTATGATACAAAGAGGTAATATACTTTTAGTATTCTTTTCAATTGCTTTTTATTGTTAAGCAGTTGGCTTCCTGTTATTTTTGCAGCTAAATAGATTTTCTAAATGTATCAACTAATATCTCAACAAGCATGAGTCTCTAGTATCTAAAAGGCACATGCTATTGTAGCTACCAGGAATATAAAAGAGAGTATTTCTAATCAGGAAACAAACTTTCCAAATTTGGTAGAGATAAATAAATTTTAAAAGTACTAATTTCCCCATATAGACAGTCACCAGATTTACTTACATAATGGTATCTTAGGCAGAAGTTAAAACATATTTCTTGATACAGTGAAAGAGTTATTTATTATAACTTTCTTTCAAAGTCTTATCTAACTAAGACTTAATGCTCCTGGTTATAACATGTCTTTAATGAGTTCTTTTATTTTATTCTAATTTTGAGGCACTGCACTCCCTGACTTAACCTGGGGCTAAAATTGAGTATCGAAATTCCGGTGTGGCTTCTGGTTCATCAGAAAACACACTGAGCTTCCCCCAAAGGCTCATTTCTCTATGTTTATAACAGAGGAGTGAGTGAATGCAGGATAAGCAGTACTCTCTGGTATCTTTTAATTATTAGAAGGCAGAGCCTAGCTTTGACGATGCCATTCCACAGCTGCAGCACTAGAGGTCTATGGGCCAGGACAAACCTAGCAGTGAAAAAGACTAATTGTCGCTCTCCACACTATCAGGAACATTGCTCATTTTCCTGAGCCTCACAATTCAAGTTCAGACTCTTCTTGTTAATACACCTTTTCCCAACACAGAAATGCTCCATTTTCTCATCTTACTCTTTTTCCATATCATAACTTAACTGTCCTCATCATGTGGCTTAGAAAGCATGTGGGATAGTTACCTTGCCTCCAGAGTCTTGTATCTGGTATTTTCTGATGGAAGATGCCACTGGATAACTCAGTTAACTTTTTCTGTTCTTCCTTGGATTCAGCTCATTCTTTGCACTGTAAAAATATATGTAGAATATATTTCTCCAATTCAGAACTACACATTTCTTGCAAATGAGGAGCTCTCTTTAAAACCTGTAGGGACAGTATATCTGTAAAAGGAACAGTGCTTGGGACCACCTTGCCCATATTCTTTCCCTTTATGGATTGCTGCAATTTCATAAGTATTACTTATTGCTATAAACCAGCATGTTTCTTAATCTTTACAAGAGAGCTACAATTTCTTGTCAAAATTTGTTGTAATTAATAGTATAATAATAATAATTAATAAAACTGGAGTTCAGAAATTCTTCCTTCATTGTCACTTTTTACTAAGTTCCTTTATTATTTTTTACCTAGGAAAAGGCCAGGAAAAAAATGGTAAATACGGTAATGTGAAATGAAGAAAAGAGCTTGCCATCTTTTACAGCTATATTGATTTAAAATGCATCACTGACAATATCACCATCATTCAAAGTGCTGTACTTCATTCAGGTGGCAGGTACTATTTGCAAATGCACAGCTCATCAGAGAGGGCTTCTTTTTTAGTCCCATCAAACTCTTCTATTTCATTAAAACAATGAATTAGAAAAATTATGAAAAACAGCCTGAAGCTGCCTCTTTTCTTCTCTAATATACAGTACTTCTATTGAGAGTTTCAAATGGAATTTATTCATACTTTAGACGTATGGAATTGGACTAACCTCATTTTGAAAAGTTATATATTCTCATTACTCTTCTGCCTGTCTGAATGCTTTAACTTATATGTTGTTAGTTTGTATTGGATGAAATCTGATCAAAGCAGTTCTTATTCAAAACTTTTGTTTTCTTTTTCATATTACGCTGGTTTGAGATGAGCTATTATATTCATCCAGGGCCATTCCTTTTTAAGGTTAAAAAAAGCATTTTTGTCTTCCCCTTTGTCCTGTTTATTATGTAAATTCAATAAAAATAAAAGATACAGATGTGAGTTCCTTGAAATAGCTATGATGTTAGAAAGCATATATTTATAAAATAGTTCTTTTGACTATGAAAGAATCATCTATACAAGTTTAAATATAATTTAAGATTTATACATATGACACACATGCAAAAAAAAAAAGGTATAGGTGTTGTATATCATATATCTGGCTTAGAGAAGTAAGAAACAAAACGCACCCCTATTTAACATTTTTCTACAAAAGATAAAAGGCCAAACTATTATTTCATTATCTGAAAATTGACTTAACTAGTACTGGGAGTGAAAACTAAGGTCCACAGGCTTGTTACCTGTTTTGGTAAATACAGTTTGATCAGGACACAGCCATGGGATTTTTCTTTAGCTTTTCTATGGCTGCATTCACTTTACAAGGGTAGAAATGAGTAGCTGCAACAGAAACCATAAGGCCTGAAAATCCTAAAATATCTATTGTCTGTCTATTTAAAGAAAAATTTTGCTGATCTCTGATCTAGCACATACATTGGTAGACCAACATTGCTCAGATTTAGAGGTTGAATGTAGTAGCTGTCACACTTTCTGAGGGTAAATTATAAATATATTTTATCTCCAGATTAGGAGGCATGAGACTCTGCAACAAGGGTCAACGTGTAAAAGAAAGGAACATATGTGTCAAATGCTCCACGTCCATGGTATAAACCTCAACCACTTGAGATAAACGTTAGGAAACTTTCTGTTAGACACTGAAGGAGCTATTCATCATCTCTACAAAAGATCTAACTTCATACAGTTGAGAGCACAAAGTGTCAGCCATTCCACCAAGAACCTTATTCTAATGTAAAAAGGCAAAAAGACCCCTGCAAGCTAATGGGAGGTCTAAAGACTGCTCTTTCATGAAACTCATTCTCTGGAGGGATGAGTCCAGAGAACCAAGGGAAAGTAAGGACATTTTTCAGTTAGTCTGCTTTTTACTTTCATATCTTGCTTTAGTTCTGCATTCATCCGTGATGTCTTGAGCTTTTAAATTTTTTTAATTCATCAAGAGTTGTATACAACACCATTAAAATAATAGTTCACTATTTAGAGTTCTTGAAAATAGTAACTTCACCCCTTGAAAAACCAGTTCTTTTAGTTATGATTTGACATTGCTTTGCTATCACTGTTCATTTGAAATATTATTCCATCACCTCCATCTATTTCACGTAATATTTTAGACTTCATTGTTTGGAATTGTTCAGATGTATGCATTTTTATCCTAATAGCCACTGACTTACATCCAGGTTACTTAACAGTTATTAATGGACATAGTTGTTCTTTAAAAAAAGAAATCCTCTTTCAGTTAGGCACCTATGTCTCCAACAAGAGCATGAAATTTGCAAAAATGTGATATTGCTATTTTCAGTATGTAACAGTCTGCCCTGATTAAAGATCTAATCTCTGTGTTTCTTTGACCTCATAACCTTTTACCTCAACTTTGTGTCTGTGTTCCATTTAAAAATGTAAATATTATTAGTGCATATAGGAAAGATCATCTCTGTTTGAAAATTGCATATAAATAACTCCAGAGGACTGGAAAGAAGCCTATGCTAGAATCATTGCATAAGGATTAGAGCTGTATTACATTAACAGCAGAAAGAGGGAATTTCATATATTAACATATAGAGAACTAGGGAGGAGATTTGAGCCAAAATTTATAAACAACACAGAAATGAGTCAGACAATGAAGCTTATGTTGAAAGATCTTTTCTCCACCTTTGTCTCTCTGAATTTTAAGTATCATACTAGCTATTAAGTATCAATGCAGTCAAGTGATTAAAACAAAATGAAGGTTCTGCTTATGCTTTGGAATACTGTGATAGCTGGGTCTAATTTTCATCCTGCTACATGTCTTCTGAAATGACCAAAGGAATATAAAAATAGACACTAATCTGCATCAGTTGAAGGACCAGAGAAGGGTCATCATTTCCATTGTCAGAAATAGCAGCGTCTTTCTGCTAGATTGAGTGCAGATGAAATGACAAGGCACCGAAGGCTGGTTCAAAATTCCTCTCCGGAGAAAATGGTTCAGACTCTCAGGAAGCAATCAGAGGATGGGCTGGCAGACCCCTGTCACCTCTTCAATTGGAGGCATGAACACTGGAGGCAAGGAGAGTCTATGGGGAAGATGGAGAGTTTAAATTTGGGATCATTTTTACTGTTTTAGAGGAAAAGCATTTCCATTTAGTTGTTTGGGGGAGGCCTGGCATGGTCTTGTTTCCAAACAGAAATAATAATAACGTTTAATAATTATAGAGAGTTTATTATTCGTCAGATACTTTTCTAAAGTCTTAATATGAATTATCACAATTAATGCTCCTATTGACCCTGGAGGTAGGTATACTTATTAGATCAATTTCATGGGAAGGCAAACTAAAGCATAGAAAGCTTATGTAACTTATCCAAAGTAAAATAATAACTGAAAGAACCAAGGTGTACACCCTGGCAATCTGACTCAAAAATGATGCTTTCAGATATTTCATATGGTCTCCTAATAAGTCAATAATGCCACAAGCTATATTGACTTTCCAATGACACGCAGCGAATTCTGCTGGAACATGGTATGGCTAGGTTCACATGATGTGGCAAACAAAAAAACTATAGGATGCCCAGGAACATTTGTATTTTAGATGAACAATGTAAAACTGTTTACTACAATTTCATTTTCCAATGTGCTTTGGTATATATACTAAAACACAGTTGTTTTGTATGTGTATGCATCCAACTCTTTGCAACCCCATAGTCTGTAGCCTGCCAGCCCCCTCTGTCCATAGAATTCTCCAGGCGAGAATACTGGAGTGGGTTGCCATTTTCTCCTCCAGGGGATCTTCCTGACCCAAGGACTGAACCTGTGTCAGCCCCCTCTGTCCATAGAATTCTCCAGGCGAGAATACTGGAGTGGGTTGCCATTTTCTCCTCCAGGGGATCTTCCTGACCCAAGGATTGAACCTGTGTCTCCTGTATCTTCTGCATTGGCAGGCGGATCCTTCACCACTAAGCCACTTGTTTATCTTACATTAAAATTTAACTGAGCCTTCTATATTTTATCAGTCAATCCTAGGCATGGATCTTGCATGACAAGGAAGCAGAAGGGCTAGGAGGAAGCACAGAAGCTACATGATACACCTGGCCAGGAGGTGGACAGAAAGACCAGACACTTTATTCTAGTGCACCGGCTTCACCAAATAGAAAAGAAACTCCACAAAAAGCTTCTTCTCTGCTGGAAAGTTCTGAATTTGAATTGCCATTTGCTTTTCTAGGGGAGGGTTTCCGTGGTGGCTCATAGGGTAAAGAATCTGCCTTCAAGGCAGGAGACACGCAAGTTCAATCCCTGGGTTGGGAAGATCCCCTGGAGAAGCGAATGGATACCCACTCCAGTATTCTCGCCTGAAGAATTTCATGGACAGAGCAGCCTGGTGGGCTACAGTCCATGGAGTTACAAAGAGTTGGACATGACTGAGCAACTAGCACTTCTTATCTAGGCAAGCAAGGTTCTATACTGCTAATGTAAATTTGCATTTACAGTCCTCCAAGTGAACAACTAAATGCAGAAATCTGGGAACAACCAAGAAAATACAATAATACAGGTACCCAAGAAGAGAGGTTGTGTTTATGGGCAGACTTCCAGTTGGATTCACCTCTCTTCTTTTAAGAATAAGTGAATGAGTAAAACCCAATGATGTGTCTATGTTTATCTTTTTTTTAATCTTAGAGAAAGTAGAAGTAATGTTTGACACAGTCTACTTGAGCTATCAACAATTCAATGAAAACATGTATTAGTTGGTCTCCTAATATGGACATGACATGCTCTGGTGATATAAACTGAAACAAAGGCTTTCCGTCAAATAAATTTTGGTAAAATGAATTCTAATATAATGAATATAATGCCAAGGTTGTTGTGGAATAAACAAATGAACCAATTGATCAACAACCAGTAAACCAACCTAAAACAGGAGGAGTAATTCTGTGTAGAAGGGGGCCATAAACAGTATGCACTGGCTGTCTATATTCATCCTAAATCCCTCTACTGTGCCTAGAAAGATGAAAACATCCCCCAGACTCTTTTGCAGCTTAAATTCTACTTTTGATT